AAATCCAGCTGAGATCCAGAAAAACCAGCTGAAAGAGCCCATCAGTAGCCGCAAACAGGTTGTCCATGTGAACAGTAGCGTGAACAGTGTGTCATGACCAAAACCAGTTGAAAACCATCTGAAAATCACCCACAGCAGCTGCAATATCAGTAGAGGTCAGCTGAGAAAAACCGCCAGCAGCAGGAAGCAGACTGTTCACGTGAACAGTCGCGTGAATAGTACTCCCTGACCAAAAACAGCAAAAAAGCCACCGGAATGTCCCCCCAGCTGCATTTAATGTACAAATGTTGCCTAAGCTTCCCAGCAGGGTAAAGGAAGCAAACACACCAGCTGCGAGAAGCCAAGCAATGAGAAACAAAAGCCCCAGCCCGATTGGATGATTCATAAGTAAAAACCAAAGAATCAAAAATTAGTAAACTTTTTCCTTGACGTTTTAACACCTTGTTGATCCTGGATCTGAATTAATTTTGCCTGGAAAGGAATCTTCAAATCACATGTGAAATCCGAAGAGGCACCCTCCAAAACAGCAAGGTTTGCAAGACAGTCAGCTAAGCAATTTGCTTCCCTGTATACATGAGCCAAACTAAAATTCATGCCCTTCAATAACTCCATGATCTCATCACAAATCTTCCAAAACTTCCGGGCCCTCATGTGCCCTTTCATCACCATTTGGACCATCACCGCTGAATTAGTTTCAATCAGAAGGCCACAGTCTAACAGCCCATAACTTCTAAACAACAATAAACCATCCTTGAGTGCATAAAGCTCAACCTCCATGTTTGAACAAACCTCATAGAAAAAAGAAGCAGCCAAGACAATGTGCCCCCATTCATTCCTTACCACAGCTCAGCCCCAGCTCTTCCAGGATTTTCTTTCGATGCCCATCCACATTTAGCTTTAAAAAACTGGAGGGAGGAGGGGACCAGTTAATCCAAATAATTTTTGGTTCCAGTTCCTGCCTCATCTCCACCTTTAAGGCCCTCAAAAGATCCATCTCCATCATGCCTTCCTTTGCCTTGGGACGAGTACCATAAGCCCGAAGACGCAAAGAGGAGCAAATATCAAGAAAAACAGCATGGGCCGAAAGTGAGATATCTTCATAGACTCTTCTGCATCGCTCCCTCCATAGTCTCTAAAAGACCACCAGTGAAGTACCTCTTAATAGGTTATTGCTAACAGAGTTTTTTTTTTAAATTCTAATCAACCTCATCATACGAACCATGGGAGATTCAGCCGAGAAAATCTGAAATCCACAAAAGGCAGCAAGCTTCCCCAAACCTCTTTAGTAAAGTTGCATTGTGTGAATAGGTGAGTCGTAGTTTCCACTTCCTGATGGCATAGAGGGCATCTACTGGCCAATTCAACGCCAATACGTTGGAAATTTGAGTCCACCACCACAGCTTTCATATGTATCTTCCATCCCAGCAGTTTTGCACTTGGAAAGACAGATTGGTTCTAGATCGCAGAGGTTATAGGCACAGGGTTATTTGAAGTTCTCACCGCCTGCCAAGCTGATTTGACATTGAACTCTCCCGACTCGGTTAATTTCCATATCAATCGATCTTCTTTGCCACATAAACGAATCCCAGAGTTATGGATTTCGTGCTTTAATTGCTCAGAAATCTGGACTCCCAATAACTGCCACTACCAGTCCCCTCTTGCCCATATCGCATCTAGACTTAGAAAGCTCGAGGGGGAGACATCGTGCCTGAGCAATAAAGGGCCAGATCCTGCCCAGTTCGTGCACCAAAAATCCACAGACTTCCCGTTTCCCACCAAAACCTAGGAGTTCTCCATAACCAAGCAAAAGAAAGGTTGCAGCATTCGAAATGTACGAGCTTTTGCAGTGCCCAGACATCATAACATGTGTTTGCCTTTTAAGAATTTTGCTCTAAACATGTTCGCCCAAAGAGAGTCACCCTTTAGAATTCCCCATACCTGCTTCCATCGAAAAGCAGTTTGGATGTCCTCAAATTTACGAATTCCAAGCCCCCCTCTTGCTTGGGTCCTAAAATATCTTGAAACTCAATGCCTTTTCCTCTCCCCCATCCTGCCTGACCAAATAAAGGAGGCCATCAAAGACTTCAACTTGACCAGGATGCCTTTGGGCACCCTAAGACAAGAGAGCAAGTGAATAGGGACTGCACTGAGGACCGATTGAACCAATACAATTCTGCCCATGTTTGATAACAAGCATGCATACCACCCTTCCAATTTAGCCTTGAATTTTAGAACCACTTCCTCAAAATCCCGGAGTTTATATCTTCCTCTAATTATGGGGCAGCCTAGGTAGGTGAAGGGGCATTGTTTAATTGGAATTTGTGCAATTTTGGAAAGTGTCATTCTCCTGACCAGGGGAATTTTGGAGGAGCAGATTAAGGAACTTTTCTGCTTGCTTATTCTCTGACCAGAGCACTCCTCCTATCTTGCCAAAAATCTCACCATTTGTTCCCTGGATAGTTTATTCCCTCTAAGAAAAAACAGAGTGTCATCTGCAAAAAGAGGATGAGAAATAAGAAGAGCACCCCTCCTTGCATGAAAAGCCTTGATTCTGCCTTCACCATACAGCTTCATCAAGCCCCTGCTTAACACTTCCTTGGCCAAAATAAAGAGAGCAGGTGAGATTGGGCCACCTTGTCTCAACCCTCTAGACGAAGGAAAATTGCCAAATCTTTTCCCATTCAAGCAGACCGAGAAGAATTGGTTCTTAGGAAGTTACCAATGATGGAAACAAATAAGTTTGAAAAACAAAACAGCCCAAAGTTCTTTCCAAAAAGTCCCACACCAATGCGGTCATATGCCTTCATCATGTCCAATTTAAGAATCACGTTGCCTGCTTCGACTTTTCTATCAAGCTCGCCCACCATTAACTGTGCTAAAGAAATACAATCCCCAATCCCTCTCTCTTTGACAAAACCGTGCTTTGCATTTGAGATCAGAGACGGAATGAGAGCCACAAGTCTATTGGATAGGACCTTCGTGAAGACTTTGTACAAAAAATTGCATAGGCTTATGGGCCTAAAGTCTGTGAAAGAGCAAGGCTTCATCACTTTTGAAATCAAACACAAGGAGTGTGGAGTTAACAGATCTTGGAATCACTCCCCCACTCAAGAAAAAATTAACCGCCTCCAAAAGGTCGCTTTTAACAATATCTCATGCTACTTGAAAGAATCTACCAGAAAAACCGTCAGCGCCAGGGACGCTTTCCACAGACATAGAAAAGACAACATGTTTCACTTCGGTTAAGGTAGCAGTCATAGTCAAGATCTCGTTATCCGCTGGTCCAACAAGTTTAGGAATAACCCCAAATAGCTCTTCATCAAGCCCATGGTCCTCTGACATGTACAGTTTAGCAAAAAAGGTTGTGGCCTGTTGAGAGATCTCCTCCTCAGAGTCACACCATTCACCATCTTCACCTTTAATCCTCATCAGTATGTTCCTCACAGCCTTCCCTTTGGCCAAAGCATGAAAGAACTTGGTATTCCTCTCCCCGTGTAGTGCCCATTTTATGTTAGCTTTTTGTCTCCAGTATAATTCTTCCAACCTAAGTGTTTCCTCTAGATTCTTTCTTGCAGAGTAGTTATCATCCACAGAACGTTCTGCCTCTCGCAAAGCCAATTCCTGCATACTAATCTTTTCAAAAATGTTCTCAAACACCTCCTTGTTCCATTTTTTGATATTAAACTTTAGCATTTTTAGTTTGAGGAAGAAGTTCTCAGCGTTAGCAAACATTCTGTCCAGCCGTTGCCACATTCTCGAATTAGCCCCTCCGATTGAATACAGTCCCCAAATTCATCCATTGCCAACACAGATGGAGAGGCACCCCCCCCCCCCATTCTTTCATTTGACCTCATCACAATGTTAAAATCCCCCATCACCAACCAGGGCATAGCAAAGGATGTAGAAATAACCTATAAGTGTCCCCACAAGGGCCTCCTTAACAAGTAAGTCACAACAACCATACACCACCGTAACTAACACTGGATCAGCTCCCTGGTAGGAGACTGACACGGTCATAGCTTGTTCAAAGTGCAGCATGCTCTTAACTTCCAAGTTATCATTCCATAAAAGCCACATATTTTTCTCTGCCTTTGTGTTTGCCATAAAAGAATTTAACCCAACAGCAAGACCAAAATTCCTTAGTTTGGTATGGGACATTTTTGGTTCAATAACAGCGAGAAGACTCACCTTATTCATTACAATTAATTTCTTTAATTTGCTTCTTAGACTCTCTTTTCCAGCACCCCTTACATCACCTTATTCATTACAATTAATTTCTTTAATTTGCTTCTTAGGCTCTCTTTTCCAGCACCCCTTACATTCCACATTAGGAAATTCATCATAAAGAATTTGTTTCATCATTACCTCTGGGACTATGCCCAGTACTGCAGTCGGAGTAGTTCACTGTTGTTTGGTTTAGCAAGATAATTCCTTGATCTTCATTTACAGTGGCATCTTCACTTGAATCAGCCCAATTTTTTTAGCTTTCTTGATCAGAGTAAAAGCCCCTGTCTGGTGGTTCTTTATCCCTCCTGAGTCCACTTTCGTCATCCACGGTGTAATTTTGTCTGCCTCTTAGCTCATACAGATGATCCATAAAGAAAGAAGATGATGTAGGTGAATGAGATTGTTTATTTAACGAGCACATTACTGTACCTGCCATCTGTTGCACCTCTTTAGACCCTTCCGCCTGAGGTTGAGAAAATAGAGCATTATCCATACCGTTCTGTATACCCTTTTCACCTCTTTCTGGAGATACCTCCATTAATGACATTTCTTTCTCCTTTTCTGCGCCCTGTAACCTCTCCTTATCCGGTGTTAGAGTAACCAAATCCTCCTTGTTTTTTGCCTCAGAACTTACAACAGTGCTTTTTTAAGTAAATGAATCCCCGTTATGATTTTCCATTTCATCTTTTCCCTCCTCTGCGACATCCTTGCCCGAATGCTCTCCTCTTAACACATTAAATTTATTGGCATCCTCCTCTCCTCCTACATCTAAATTTATAGGATTCTAGAAATTGTGGTGCTTGGTGACCCTCTTTCACGGTTACTTTGGAATTCACTTTTTTGTGACTTTCTGCCATGCCTTATCTTTCCCCTTAAGGTCCTCATCTTTTTTCGAGATGCCAGCTTTCTGCTTTCTTTCCTCCTTAGGGTTGTATGTCTGTTTGTCCACTTTGTTTTCCTCTTCCCTTTTGCCTTTACGACACTCGAGCATCCCATGGCCTTCTTTCAAACACCCAGCACAATACTTCACCAATTTTTCATAATTAATCTTTTGCCAATGCCCACTTGTTCCGCCAAAATCCAGCCAAAGACGAGATGGGTTATCAGCTAATAAATTAACTTCGACACATACGCTAGCCACACCTGGCCTAGATAATAGGAGGGTGGGTGAGTCAATTACAAGGATTCTCCCGATGGGACTCAAAATGTCCCGAAGGCTCTCCTTATCAAAGAGGTGAATTGGCAAACCTGGGAGAGAAATCCAAATAGGAACCACTGATGGTTCAATCCCAGGCAGGAACTCCGGAAACCACTTGAAGAACCTGAACAAGAAGCCCTCGATGTATGTTGCATCTGTGAAATTCGGGAAAATTTGAACTTTTTCTTAGAAAGGGTAAAATGTTAATTTGTCATCCTAATGCGTATTTAAAATACTCATGTTCTAGACCTCGGTTGAGGAAACGGAGTTTGCCGTTGGATTCGTATCGCAAAATCTAATCACCGTGTCAAATTTCATCAAATTTCGAGATAGACGAATTTTTGCACGTTGTTCAAGGCAACTACGAGGCAAATGACATTTTAAAGGTCCCCAAAAATAAATTTTTAAATTTTTTTCTTAAAATCAATTTAAAGTTCCAATAAAATTAATTTTAACTAAATCTGAGGTATAACAAATCGTTTCGGAACGAAAAACGGACCCGGAAGTCTGAAATATGCGGTGCGATGTGGACCACACATTCAGGACTATAAATACCTACTTGACTTAAATATTTTGGAAAAAATATCTCATGTTCTTGACCCTTGGCCGGCCATAGAGAGAAGAGAATGAAAAGAGAGAAAAACAAGTAAGTTCTTCAAGCTTCAATCCAAGATTCTCGGAGTTTCGTCGGTCGGAATTCGTCGAGTCAAGAATCAAAGTTCATCTCCTCGACGAGAGTTACGTGTACGTACCAAGAAAAGTAGATTTCACCGAAGGTGCAAAGAAAAGACTTTGGAGGAATCAAAGGTTCTTGGGCTTGTTTTGGTGTTTTTTAGAAGTTCTACCACTTCTTACACGCTACAAGAGGTAGGGTTCGCTCCTACCTTGGTTTTATTCTTACCTTAAGTGGGCTTTTAGTGGCTGAAAATGGTTTATATGTGGGCTGTCCAAATAGACTGTTAAGGGGCTGAATTTTGGACTGTTAAGGGGCTGAATTACGGACTATTTTGGTGCTGAAATTGGGGTTGTTTTGTGCACTAATTAGGGGCTGTTTTAAGGCCTATTTTGGGGCTATTTTAGGGCCTATTTGGGGCGGTTTAGTGGCTAAATTTTGGGCCACTATGGGCTGATTTTCTTGTGGGCTGAAATATGTGCTATATTTTGTCTTTTAAATTAAGTGTGTTTTTGACATAGATTATGTGATAACATGCTTGTCAATTGTGTTGAATATAAATGTTGACACATGCTAGTTGATGTTTTGACATCGTGATGAAATTATGGGGATTATTAGCATATGATATAAATCGTCATGGTAGACATTGATATGTAAAAATTGTTCCTTTGGCATGCATTGCAATATGAACAAGGAATTGGCATCACATTCATGGGCATGAGTCATGAGTGTGGATGTGTGTATGCATTGTTAATTAAACACCATTCTTGGTGATTAATGGGTAGACTCAAAAAAGTTGGGTTGAAAATCTGAATGAGTCACATGGTTGCATGAAAGAAAAACTTCTGTCGGGTATAGCAAGAAGGGGTAGATTCCCCCCTCGGGTGCAAGACTCGGCGACTTGGTTATACATTCCCCTGTAGTGAAATTCCAAAAAAGTGTAGTATGGTGTATGGAACCGGCGGTATAAAATCCAAAATCCGTTGCCCAACAAGACACAAGATTTTGATTTATAAAGTACTCATATAATGAGTAACACCCATTAATGATTTGGTTTTATAATAAAACAACTTTTATTTCAAACGATCATTTGGTGAATTTTTTCGTCAATTGACGGATTCAGTATACCTTGGCATTGCATTGTGTCGTGGGAGTCGATGATGACTTGGGTTTAAGTGTATGAGCGAGTATCATCTCATTTCATGGCATGACATGATTACATTCCACATTTAATGCATATTCTTGTATGGAATGATTGTTAAATGTTGTTTGTTGCTTATATGCACCACATATGCATCTAAGGTGGAGAGTAGCCTCTAGAGGGATTATTCTACTGGGCGTTAGCTCACCTTATACTGCAAAACATTTCAGGTGGGAGAGATACATCGGTAGATGGCTCCAATTTGGACCCTCATGTTTGAAGAAAACCGAATGTGGCTTTATTTTGTGATAATGTAAAACATTTGTGGAAATAATGTTTTGGACATGTAATATTTTGCAAATAATTGTAATAGAACTTATATAGACTATTGTTAAACTAACTTTGCATGTGTTAATATAAATATGGATAATTGGACCCGGTGTGGTCATTGTTGAATATTGGACCTCGGATGGGTCTTGTTATTATATGATTGCACAGGTTGAGTTTTTGGTAGAGTTTCCTGTACAAAGGAGACTCTGCCCGAATTTTATAAAAAATTATGGTTTCCAGTAAATGGCGCATAATGGCGTGATATCAAATTACTCGGTATCCACGGGTTGATGGGGAATCAACGGACCCCCAGATTTTGGGGTGTCACAGCATCCTTTAACCATGTCTTGACGTAATCCTCATTGTAATCAATGCGTGTCTTGGATCCAAGACCCCGACAGTGAAGTTGCCTTTGAGGAGCCATCTGGTAGTGATGAATTCCCTGATAACACCAACTGATGGTTAACCATATGCGCATTTTCCTGTTAAGGTCTGGTGGAACTTCTTTGAGAGAGTTTGAGTTTCCTCAGAAGACCAATACATCAGAGCTATTGTCCATCCGGGATCGTGTACAGGCAGGTGTGGGTGACGAGGGCTGGGCTACTCACTCAGATGGTAGTCTTCGATATCGAGGAAGGGTTGTGGTTCCTCGATTGGCAGATCTGAGGGAGGAGATCCTTAGGGAGTTTCATTGCTCCCGTTTTGCAGTTCATCCAGAGGGCACGAAGATGTATCATGATCTTTGTCGCCAATATTACTGGAGTGGAATGAAGAGGCAGGTTGGCAATTTTTTCAGTCGATGTCTCACGTGTCAGCAGGTTAAGGCTGAACACCAGAGACCAGCGGGATTACTCCAGCCTTTGGAGGTAGCTGAGTGGAAGTGGGAGCATATCACGATGGATTTTGTGACCCATTTGCCACGGACATCGCGGGGTCATGACGCGGTGTGGGTGATAGTAGACCGGCTTACTAAGTCGGCACACTTTTTGGTTGTGCGGATGACCTTCACATTGGAGGAAATCTGCAGGTTGTATATACGGGAGATTGTCCGTCTACATGGAGTACCTGTATCTATTGTATCGAACCGGGATCCCAGGTTTACGGCTCATTTTTGGGAGAGTTTTCAACGAGCCATGGGGACACAATTAATGATGAACACTACTTTTCATCCCCAGACAGACGGTCAGTCTGAGAGGACTATCCAGACTTTAGAGGACATGCTACGGGCATGCGTTCTAGATCTTAAGGGTAGCTGAGAAGATCACTTATCCTTGGTGGAGTTTGCATACAATAACAGTTACCAGGCGAGCATAGAGATGGCACCCTATGAGGCACTATATGAGAGGCCATGTCGTTCCCCGGTTTGTTGGACGGAGGTAGAAGAGAAGTCTTCTACGGATCCGGAATTGATCAGAGACACCTCGGAGAAGGTGGACTTGATTCGAAAGCGTCTTCTCACGGCTCAAAGCCGGCAAAAGAGTTATGCTGATAGACGGCGGCGACCTCTAGAGTTTGAGGTGGGAGATCATGTCTTCTTGAAGGTTATGCCTAAGAGAGGAGTGGTCCGGTTTGGTAAGCGGGAAAAGTTGTCACCGAGATACATCGGGCCCTTCAAGGTACTTAAGAGAGTGGGTACAGTTGCTTACCGGTTGGCATTACCACCAAATCTATCGAGTGTTCATGCAGTATTCCATGTCTCTATGCTTCGGAAGTACACCCCACATCCGACTCATGTGGTGGATTGGGGAGAGCTTGTTGTTGATGCTGATGGGACTTTCGAGGAGGGATCGGTGCGCATCATGGATAGCCGGGAACAGGTTTTGCGAGGCAAGACCATGCGGCTAGTGAAGGTACTGTGGCAGCATCGAGGAGTAGAGGAAGCCACATGGGAGTGCGAGGACACTGTCCGTACTAGTTATCCTTTCTTGTTCGAGGATGGAGGTACATTCTTCTGGTCATTTAGCATTAATTGACTATTGTATATGCATGTGATTGTATGTACATGTGTATGTGAATTTCGGGGACGAAATTCTTTTAAGGGAGGAAGAATGTGAAACCCGGGAAAAATTTTAACTTTTTTTGAAAAAAAATGGCAAACTGGTAATTTGCCATTATAGTGTGGGTTAAAAAAAATTGGTATTTTTATAGACCTCGGATGATGAAACGGACCTCACCGTTGGATTCGTCTTACGAAAT